AGCAGTTCAGGTAATAAATTTTGCTAAATGTTGGACTTAAATAATTGCTACACAGCTTACAATTGCCATAAAAACAATTTTATGGCATGCATTTGCCATAAAATTCAATTGTTTTAGTTGAGTTGTTAATATAAGCATCCCATTAGAAAACAAAATTTAGTTAAAACTGAATTGGGTAATTCAGCTCCTATAAGAAAACAAAAATAGATAATTTAATGAGAGATTCTGGGAAATAATAAAGAATAGAAGCATCCAGATTTGAGGGGCTGCAGGGAGAATAAAGTTACAATATTTCAGAAGAACCTCAGGACTTAAGAAGTTAAAATTGATGAAAATGAATTTAAAGGCTTGCTGTGTTCTGTTCAGTAAACATTAAAATCATGGAATAATGATCTAAAGCATTAACATGGTAAATGAAGAAATATGAAACAGTGGCCAGCATAGTTCTTAAAAACCCAGTATTTTCCAAATATACATGTATTGCAGCAGTCTTCCAGTTCCTATAGACTCCCAATTTTATTCTCAATGATCCTGTTCCTTAGAGAGGAGACGAGCATTGAGATGAACTAGAGCAGTCCTTCATTCCACCCTCTTGTGTCTTGGATTATAATGCACAGAAGAAATAAACCTATTTATCATGGTACCCAAATGCCTCAGGAAAAGGCTATTGAGAGTCCTTGAGAAAAAGGTCATAGCTGTTGGGAGACAAAAATAGTTTCATCGAGCAAGGAAAGAAAGATACCAATCATAGAACAAAAAAAGCTGCAACCATATTGTAATAACACAAGCCTTCAACAGGGTGTGAGATTAGCAAAAGAGAAATGAATTCAAGTACCATTATGAGAAATTTATTTTATATAACTCTTTTTAGTTTTTCTGTGCCTGGTTAACATCAGTCACAGGGCAAAGGAGAGGGAGCTGCCAGAATTCAAATATGGAAAATAAATAGAACTGTTCCCTACCCATTCATTTAGAGCAGCATACAGGAAACAGAGATCCTGATTCATAAATCAAGGTTCTAAAGATTGCAGCTCTACTCCGTAGGAAAGATTTCACATGCAGGAAGCCCCATACTGAAATAACAGTGTTAGCATTGGTTTTTAATTTGTATTTTGTATGGGTATTGAATATAATAGAGAATTACTGTACAAATCAAATCCAGAATATTTCCTTTTGCTAGAAAAAGTAGGAAGGTATCTTTGAGGAATATGTTAGCTTACTTAAAAATATTTTTAAGTGACATAATATGTCTGTTCTAGAATATTAGCTGTCTTTCTCCTATCTCTTTGGAGGACTGCTTTTCTGCAAATAAACTGTCCCTCCAAATCCATTCCTCAAAAGGTCAAGGAGGTTGTGCCTTTCCAAAATTTTCCCAGGTTGGTTTTCCTGTTTGCACAAACATGTAGGAGATACTTTGTGACTATCAGTCAAGTAGTCTTCCAAATGGTTGTATGATCTTAACTATTCTGGCTTATCCCAATGCTCATGTTTTGTACCAAAATAATTTTAAAAGAAGAGTAGGTAGTGCTAATCAGTTCTGATGCCTTAGAATTTTTTCCATAGTAAGAGTGGGTTACAGAGTCTGAAGAAAATTCCCTTAATTTTCTTAATATTGTTGGAGAACTTGTGCAATGATAATTTGTGAAGTACCAATCCTGTTCTAACCAATCTAGTCTGATGCCTTAATTATTGCAGGTAGTCTTTGACTTAACAACCACAATTGGGACCCAAAGCACCCAGAATGATCTGTGTTGAATTGGATGATCATATATATCTGTTTAATAAATAAATAATTGCAAATCATGGATAGATGATGGCAGGATATTACAACCAGTCATAAGTGTCAGCCAGTTGCAGTCTGCCTGAAATGCAGACATGTCATCATGAGGAGCTCCCATTCCTATGAGTATCACACCATGTTCACATTCCTGTATGTATTTTGAGGCTAGGCTTTGTATGTGTGTACAAAATAATCACTCCTGTTCTGTCATATGGTACCCGTTTATTCTGATTTATTTATGTAGCATGTGGCAAAAATATTAAAAAGTACATCATAATTACATTCTCAATGAGCAAATATGAAACTATTTATTGTATTTATAAATTCAAGGATAGGTGTTTATATAGTCAATACATAATGGGATTGCATCCAGAAAGTCTGGGGTTTCCCTGACATGCACTCAAAGGGTACTGTTCCACAATATTCAGCACTATCTGCTTTGGAGAAGAGAGAGCTTTCCCCATTTATGGAGGAGACTACCGCACCTGCCATGTTGATTCCTAATCCTATTGAGTATTGACCAGGTTTTATGGGATAGATTGAATCCTTTTTGTTCATTTGTAAAACATGTTATGACACTGTGGGGGAGCAATAGAGGACCATTCGCGTCCAGGCCTGAAGCAGATTGAAGTTGTTATCCAGCAAGGTTCTGGCTGTCCTAATAGGTGGATATCTAGTGCAAAACAGCATTAGTGATATCTAAAGGTGAATATTACTAAATATTTTCTTATACTCTCCCAGTAAAGTGTTTTCTCTTCGTAAATGTGAAGGAGTATGTGTCAAAGCTGGTAACCAGAAAGTAGGGTTGGATCTTATTGTGCCTAATCATCAGAGTGGCTGATATTAGGGCTTTCATATATGAGCTGAGAAAAATAGACATGATCAAGTAGATGGAAACAAAGAGTTGGAGATTTCTGCATTTTTTTGACACCAAGTGATTGGATATTTTCTGCCCAAATAGGCCCATGATCTTTATGTATTATCAGATGTTGACTTCCTCTGTGCAAAGTTACTATGCAAAGAAATGAATCATTCTAATAGTTATATAGAAAGCAAAAGAAAAAGAAAAGAAAAAGAAAATCCACCTTCCAAGACAAATAAAATGTTTGGTATTTATATTCTTTATGATGTACCTTGTAATTGTAATAACTGCAGTGGGAACATTAAATAAAGAGTTACTAAACTGTTTCTGTTAACCAGAATATAATTAAAGTTGTGTGTCTACCTTCATATTAATCAATTGAACATTCCTTGTTGGAAAACTTTAATTAATTATGATTAGTAATTATTTTAATATTTTCAAAACATGGCCAAAACAAGTTATATACTTATCCATTGTGAAAATAATTAAGAGCTTTATTTCTGAATTAGGTGGATTTAGAGTTGTTTTTGACCCTGGAGTTTTTCTATTTATGTGCAACTAACCATTCATGAATATTCAAGAAAGCCATTCAACCATCTTACATTTTTTGAGAAAAATGGATTAAATTCTGTTAAAATAATTGCCAATAGTACTTGTTCTTTAATAGCTTTTTTTCCTTTTTCAGCAAAATAACTAAACTTTATGATTTTTTTCTATGTACTTGGCCTTATCGTTCAGATTATTTCTTGAAAGAAAATTACAGTACTATTAATCGTGTTAAAATGATTCCATTGATTATCGCTAATGATAAAGCAGCCAGTATAATAACTGTGTTTTGAAATACATATTAACATTTCTATAGTGAGATTTGACGCGACAGTTAATGTTGTTAAAATGCAATATTTATCTGTTAGTGAAAGTTACATTTTCACCACTTTATATTCATGTCAGAATGTATACAGTAGTCACTTTTAAAACTGAGAATATGGCATTTGTTTTTTAATTGTGCCGAGTAAAGTAATAGTAGTATATCTTAATAAATAACTTTAGATAGTCCCTAATAATATATAAAACAGGGGAAGAATATTAATCTGTAGAGCAAAAGTAACATATGGAAAATAATGTTGACAATTCATTCTACCTATGGCTTATCTAGTTGCAGAATGTCACCTTCCCAAGCCTTTTCAGCAGTGTACAGGGTACTTGAAATGTATCTGTTCAAGTATCAAGTACCTGTTCAAGTACCAAGTACATTTCAACAACTTGAAATGAATATAGTTGGAAAATCAGTAGTAATCAGTGAAAATCAGCTGGTCTGCAGGGACTTTTGGGGGCACTGCAAAACATCTTGAACAAATCTTGTCTATGTAATTTGTTCATATATTTAAATTGTATTCCATAGTCATTTTCAAAAGCATTTTAAGAGCTATGCCAAACAGTATGCACAATTTAAAATAAAATTTGTCATTTTCTTGACGCTTCAGTTCCGTTATACTTTTCCAAGGCATTCTAGAGACAGTAAAGAAAAACACTTCTGATACTATGCACACCAGAAAAACTAGACACAAGGACAGTTTTTCCCAGATGCCATCACTCTGCTAAATAACTAATTCCCACAACACTGTCAAATTATTTACTAAGACTGTATTACTATTATTCTTCTCATCCTTCCTATTACCTATATCCTCTCACTTATGACTATAACCTTGTTGCTTGTATCTCTATGATTTATATTGTTTTATTTGTTCCTAGTATGATTTAATTGCTTATTTAGTAACCTATGATTATAACTAAGTGTTGTATCCCATGATTCTTGATGAATGTATTTTTTTTCTTTTATGTACGCTGAGAGCATATGCACCAAAGACAAATTTTTTCTGTATCCAATTACACTTGGCCAATAAAGTATTCTACTCTACTCTACTCTACTCTACTCTACTCTACTCTACTCTACTCTACTCTACTCTACTCTACTNTGTTCCAGCAGGCCTGGGGTTGCTGAGTCCCATCCCCTACTCGAATGGGTATGCGTGTTGAGACCTTTTAGACTGTTTTGTACTGTTGTTTGTTTTTGTTGTGGTTTTCCTTTTTGTATCATCCTTCCCCCACCCCTCCCTTGGTTTTGTTAGCCGCCCTGAGTCCCTCGGGAATAGGGCGGCATACAAGTCGAATAAAACCTTCAAACCATCCATTGTAATATTGCCTCTTAAATGTAACTGTGACATTATAGCAATAAAGTTGTAAATATTTTTATTCTTGTGTTAAGATACAGCTTTTGAATAGTTTGGCAAGAAATACTTTCTTACCATTTTTTTTTTGATGATCTGAAAGGTTGATTTTGAGTCTCTTTTTTAACAGGTCAATAATGACAGATCTGTTTTACCTCAGTCAAACTGATGGAGCAGGTGCTTGGCGAGAAAAAGAAGCCAAAGATTTGACAGAGCTAGTGCAGAGGAGAATAACTTATCTGCAGGTAACAATTCTGGGGAAAGACTATACAGGTAGTCCTCAACTTACGACCACAATTGAGCCCACCATTTATGTTGCTAAATGAGAAATTTGTTAAGTGAGTTTTATCTCGTTTTATGACTTTTCTTGTCACAGTTGTTCAATGAATCACTGCAGTTGTTAAATTAGTAACAAGATTGTTAAGTGACCTGGATTCACCATTGAGATGTGATCACATGACCTGGGCCATTGCAATGGTCATAAGTATGAAACAGTTGCCAAGCATCTGAACTTTGATCAGATGATCATGGAGATGCTGCAAAGGTCATAACTGAAAAGCAGTCACTTTTTTCAATGCTGTTGTAACTTCGAATGATCACTAAATGAACTGTTATAAGGACTACCTGTATAGGACAATATAATAATACACTGCAAGTATTCAAAACTTAAGTATTTAGAAAGAAGAATCCCATTCAGTAAATAAAATAATATACTTTGTTGTGGAATGAATTTCCCTGTTCCTACCTCCTCCTGCTCAAAAGTTTCGGGGGGCTCTTCAGAGAGGTGTCAGGGTATAAATGAAGCTAGGGAAGAGAAAGGAGATGTCTCATTATGTGACCAGAAGCCCAATTTCTGTATTGGATAGAATCTGATATTTGGTTAAAGGATACTAATTTTTTGCATTTCCAGTCCTTTAGGTAATAAAAATCAGTATATTAACCTAATTCCTTAAGCCTTTATTCTATTATTACTTAAACTAAAAATATGTCATTTTACAAGGTTCTGAAGCAACTCTAGAAATTTGTGTATGCAAAGTTGTTTATGAATGAATGGAAACATCTGGAAACCAAAAAATGAGTATACTTTAATCAAATATCAGATTCTATAGAAGACAACAAGATCGTACTTATTCTTCTTTGGCAAAGAGTATATTATTTCATCAAGTAGGGTTGTAAAGTGCTTTGGATTCAGTTTCAGGAAGATGTTTTTTGGAAGTAGCATCTACCTGTGCTACCCTAAAGCAGCCAAAAGTTTTAATGAATTGCAGAAGACTTTGTTTCTAGGAAAAAATGAATTTGCTTTAAAGGTTTGCAAAGAGAGATTTGTTTCATGTTTCTAAATGCTCAGAAATACTTTTTTTAATTGTATCCAAAGCATTATAGAGCACTATTATCAGATGTTTGATTACATCATGAAAATTATTCATTTCTTGGGAAGGTTCTAGAATTCCTAGTACCAAGGAAAACTTCGTTTAATTATTTCTGAGTATTTAGCATTCATCTGAATGTTTATGAAATACTTGTCTTAGATTTTCACAGTGACTTTCCCAGGTGAAATAATCTTTTTCACATTTTTCTATAAATCTCAAAACAATTCAGGAAGCACTTAGGTTTTAGATGAATTCAGATAATTTAATTGGTAATTAAGCATTTTACTCCAACCATCTTCATATCTCCAGTTTTTGTTTTGTAATAATTCATAAATACATCATAAGAATTGGAGGTGAACACAGATAAAGATTATCCTAAATACTTTCATATTTAAGGAAAATATAAATAATAATAAATGAATAAAATATCCTAAAGCAAATACATAACAGATGTCAAGGCTTCCTGTGAAATTATATTTTAAAAATAGTTTGTAATAAATAAGAGGTTTTAAAGATAACATTATTAATATCTGTATTTATTCAAAGGGCAAAATGGCATTGCTATCTGTGTCTTGTATAAATTAAACATAACTGAGTCTTTTAGACAACTTCAGTGCAGGGAAAAATCAATTCTAAGTCCTTTTTTTTTCTTTGTTATCTTATCATGTAACCGAGCACTAAATACAGAGGGAAAATAAATAGCATTTAAAGCAATCTAACAGATTAGAGTGGCATTTTTCAGGCAAATATATGGTATCTGTTAATTTTTGCTCATATTTATTTTGAAAAAGTCCTTGTACATATATTTTTTCACTTTCCCTTTATTGTTCATAGAATCCCAAGGATTGTAGCAAAGCCAAGAAACTAATATGCAATATCAACAAAGGATGTGGTTATGGTTGTCAACTTCATCATGTGGTCTATTGCTTCATGATAGCATATGGCACTGAAAGGACACTGATTTTGGAATCCCAAAATTGGCGCTATGCAACTGGAGGCTGGGAGACTGTTTTTCGGCCAGTGAGTGAAACATGTACTGATAGATCAGGAAGTACTACAGGGCATTGGTCAGGTACGTATTATAGTTTTCTCTTTGTATAATAGGCTAAAAGTTTTTTTTGTCAACCATGTCAGTAATAAAGAACATTGAGAAAAAATAAACATTTTTATTGTAATTTATTGTAGTTTATTGTAGTTTTATTGTAGTTGTAAAGTATCAGATATTTTTTATTTTGAAATAAAGAATTAGAAATGGAGAAAATGATTATTGTTATGTGTAGGCATTTGTCTATTTTTTTCATGCTTTTATTGGTTGAGTAGATAAATCTACCAGATGTTCAGATGAGTAATAGAGAGCATTTTGTTATTTTTCTATTGTATTCAATTTTCCCAGTTTACTAGGAAGACTCCATTTAAGCTATGATTTGTATGTATTCCCTAAAATTTACATATTTGTATTTTGGGAGATGGGGAAATACCTTTTCAAAATTAGAAGTAATCCCCCAAGCAAGACTTAATGAAGACATTTATCAAAGGCTGTTTGGAGTACTTAAATTTGAGACCCTGGTCTAAGAAGTTGAATTTTCCAAAGGACTGAAATTGTTTGTCATGATTGGCTAAGCATAATGAATTATTTTTTTAATCTTGTCACTTATGCAATAAAATTGTTATTGACTGGAAACTCATCACATGTACAATACATGTCATTGTAAAAGAACACAATACTCTTTTTTCATTTTTGGCCCAAGTTAAGAAGTATACCTCCTTGAACTCTTTATCTGATATGCCTTTTTCAAATGTTTATACATGTGAATCTGTTAGGTTTTTTTTCATCTTCCTCCAGTGTTCAATATGTAATATACAAGTATTCTTCCATTGGCTTACAGGAGCCATTGTAAGATAATGAAAATGATTTCATAACATTATAAATGTCCTGTCTAACTGACAAAGTTTAAATGTACTGCAAAATTTATAGATTATATCTCAGTAGTCTATATCAGTGATGGGATATGACCAGTACGCCCTGGTACAGGCTTACCGGTGCCTGCTGGGAGCACCAGGCACCATTTCGGTACAGTGCTCTGGAGGGCCCACCCCCTCACCCGTTCTTCTTACCGCTATTTGAGCCGATCGGGGCTTTCACGCACGGAGCATAAGGTGCCTGTGCAATGCTCCGCCAAGCAACGAGCGTTGTGGGCGGTAAGTACGCATGTGCATGCTGCGCATGTACTGCGCACATTCACGTGGTGGACACCGGGTCCTATTGCAATGTACCGGTTGCAACGGGATCCGGAACATACCACTGGTCTATATATGACTTTTGGTTAGGAGTGATTAAATATAATTGACTGTCTAACAGAGATATGTGTGCAGTCTGCTGTTCTAATTTTGGTAGTTTGGATAAACTTAGGAAGCTTTCATTATTTGTTCATGCCATCTGAGGATAAGATGTATTATACCTCTGAATATTTTGACATAACTATTTGTATTATCAATAGCATTTAGGATAATCTTCAGTATTCTTTTTAGTACTATTGAACAGAAGCATTTGGTATGTTTGCTAGAGTTCAAAATGCATACAAATGAAGATTCTTTCTAATACATCTTAATTGAAAACAAAATGTAGTTGTTTAAATAATAAGTTGACCCTCTCTTCTTTGTGGCAGCCTCTCAAATATTGGAATATTGCTATCAAGTCACCCCTAGTGCTTCTTTTCTCTAGACTGGCCATATCATTCTTCATATGTTTTTATTTCTAGGCCTTTAATCTTCTTAGTTGCTCTTCTTTGCACTTTTTCCCAAAAACTCAGCCTTTTTTGCAATGTGACCAAAACTAGATGCAGTATTCCAGGCCTGATCTTACTAAGAATTTATATAGCGGTATTAATACATCACATGATTTTGATTCTATGCCTCCGTTTATGCAACCAAGGATTGTATTAGCTTTTTTGGCTGCTGCCACACACTGCTGGCTGATGTTTAAGTGATCATCAACTAGGATTCCAAAGTCCTAGTTCCTTTATTTATTTCAAAATAAAGAATACAAAAAAACCTTACATAATCCGTATAAAACAAAAGAACAACAATGACAAAGGAAATAAATTTTGTTCAGGAGGAGAATGAAAAGCAAGAAAGGAACTTCTATTACTTTTGTCAAAGGTTTGGTGGAAGAGCCAGGTCTTCAGTGCCCTTTGCAGTACCAGTAGCAGGGACAGTTTGAATAATAGTAACAAACACTTTAGAATTGATCTTCTGATTAGGGGAGACTCTTATTGTTTCCAACCATTTCTCCTCCCCACTCCACTACAGCAATCTAGACCCCTAATTTCTTTTCTGGAGGCTTAGTAGGTTTCCTGGAACATAGAAAAAGGAACTTGATGGAAATTACTGCTCCATGTCCTTTCTTCAGTGATAAGTCCATGCTGTATGCCATGCTGTATATTCAAGAGGAGTACAGAATTACCTAAATATAATTAGCAATTACTATAAACAAAAAGTTCTCATTTTTAATGTTCCATTGTAAAAACAAAATAGATCTAACTTCCCTTCTTGGAATTTCATTAGAAAAGTAGTAGAGGGTAATCATCTGTATTACTAGATAGATGACTAAAAAACAATTGCATTGATGAAATTCAAAACATACATTTTTAATAGAGATCTAAATGTGCCTATCTTTTAATTAGATTGTTTATTGTTGTTGTTGTTAACAAAGGGAGAAAGCAGTCCCAGAAAACTCTATATTCCTCAAATCAAAGGAAAATAGATTATTTGTATTTTATAATCATCTGTTAAGAAATCAGTTTGAATTCAATACCTTTAAGATACTGCTTCTCTGAAACAGTACTTTCTTGAACTGGTTTTCAGGTTTGTTTTCAGGTTGGGTTCCATTCCTTGAATTAGACTGCAGGATCCACCAAATGAAAAGCATCAGCACATGTAAAGGTAGCTGGTACCCATGGTTATCCTTATATTTATGATATAATTATATAGGTAATTATATAGGTG